GCCGTGTGTCTGGGTGATGGCAATACTGTGTGGAAACCACTACAACTGTGATTGGTCAGAGAAGGTTAATATCCTACATATTTTCAAAACTGATAATGAAGAAAACATGAAGCAAGTTGAGGATTCACTTATCTCTCCATTTCAGCACCACTAAATAAATCTACATTTTCTCATCTAGCAAAGTCACTTACAGTGCAAACCCTGTTTTTTTTGTGCTACAGCAATCTACAGTGTAAAATCTTATGCTGAACTATGAATCACTTTCTACCCCGGATGCAACTATGGCGGAACCACCATAACACATTCACAGAGAAGCATAAATCTGCTTTTCAACAGCAGTTTCAAGGGCCTCTGTGTGGTTAGCTAGGGCAGAGCAGAGTTTTTATCACCTGCCAAAACAAATCAAAATTGAAGAATAACTGTTCCAGGTTATTAAAAAAAAATCACCCTAAACACACTTGGTGTGGACAGGCTCTAAATTAGCACAAGGAAGTGATCTAATTTGCTTCTGCAAGACATGTCTGTTATCTGATTCTTTTATTGTATGTGCAACATGGAATATTGTTAAAATATAATTGGCACACCTTTGGAAGGTAGGAAGATTGAGATGTATGCCTTTTCAGTCAACATCTTGCACATATGGATCTTTGACAAAATATAAACAGTTACAATTATTATTAACAGCTAAAACTATAAACCTAAAATGAAACAAACAAAGAGGGCAAATGATAGGCAAAGACAGTGAATCTTTAGTTTCCAATTAAGGATATCAGCACACAAGTCCTCATGCTTGCAGGAGTTTCTTTGCACGTTTGGATTTGGCACTGACAATACATGGCAAACTGGGGACCTGTTGTTATAACCATTAGCCTAACTAATATAATATATAATATAAGCAGTCAAACACCGGCCGTTGGGATGCTAACTGAGGCTTTAAGCTGTTCTATTCATTCAGGAACCAAAGACCTGTCTCTGGTTACATGAGGTGACTGAAGGACTGTCACCAGGTGTATGAGTAATGAAATCAGTTCCCACGGGGGGAAGAGTGATAGAGGAACAACAACACGGAAGTGGTATCACTTCACTCCTGCCTTTTCAGCTCTCATTCCTGATCTGCCTCAGTGATTCTAGGCCAGTAGTGGCTTTTTAAAGATTTGATATGTGCCTCCAAGGACATTGGTGTTGCTAAATAGGCCTGTTATGGAGCCTGACACAAGAGGATCTGTCATTTTTGATATTACTTTAAGATGTAATACACTTAGATTAATACAACACATTATGGTAATAACTACAGGTGAATAGGCTACATATCAATATGTTAGTAAGATAATCAGAGTTAAAAACAAATCACAATATACTAGTCTCAAACTATAAAAAAAACACAACAGACATGTTTTACACACTCTTTAGTGTATATAAATTTATTTTGTCTTCTTGGTAATACAGAGGCAGTCAGTCAAGTTGCAGCAATGAGAAATCTGACTTTTTGATGCATTACATAGGTTACCATAAATGATAGGTGGAACAGTCTGTGCAATACAAATGTATTGTGGTAGTCGATGGTAAAAAAAAAGATTAAATAAATAAGAGGTTATTTCTTCTATTCATGCTGATATTGACACTGGCATTATATTAAGAGTGCAGGTGCTGAACAGGAAAATCTTGTTAGAAATACCTGGTTTCAAGTAATTAATTGTATTTTTATTCTGCTGTTATTCCGATGTTTAAATTAGGTGACACACAGGATCTATAAAATATGTACCTATCTACAAATGTCATCAAAGAATAATACTGAACCAATACCATGCAGCTTTTTTAAAGAGTTACAAATCATTCATGTTCAGTATTCATTCTACATTATTAATAATCGTTCAACAGTGGAAAATACAAATACAAAGCTGGATCAAACTAGAGAAACAGCTAAACAGTTAAAAATGCTACATAGATGACATTACGACAATGTTGGTACACTAAAGCACGTATATTTTCTACCTAATACTTATGTTTAAAACTTTTACGTTTTATAATGGGATTTAGTTTATAATAATACACTTGTGTGACAAATTGTGTTTCTGGGGGCAGGCCAGGCATCATTGATCACTGTACAATAACACAACTTTATAACTTGAACACAAACACAACTTTATTCACTGATTCTGGTGAAACTGAACATATTTTATGGAGAAAATATTTTCTGGTTTCCCCTCTTATGTCCTCCAGCTGCTCTGTCTCAACCCTTGTTGATTTATGGAGTTTCTTGATGGAAACATATCTTTATGTGGGTGGTGATGGCGCATAGATAAGATGCTTGCCTTTGGTGTGGGAGACCTGGGTTCAATTCCCACTGTGAGACATCCACCATAGTGTCCCTGAGCAAGACACTTAACCCCTAGTTGCTCCAGAGGCGTGCGACCTCTGACATGTAGCTTTGGATAAAAGCGTCAGCTAAATGAATAAATAAATCGCTAACTGCTGCTACCTTTGCAGCAAGTGGTCATATTTGCTGACTCTGTCCAGACTGGAAGCTCAAAGCACCATGGTTAAGTGTGGGAATGACTGGGACAAAAAAATCAGCCCTGGCATTTTTGGCCCAGGTGGCCCACCAAAATGTCGGACACCCCTCACCAATACACCATCCTTCCATTTAAACACTTAGCCCATGAGACGCAACTTTGTACAAGATTGGGGCTATGACAAGACAACACAAGAGTTTTCTTCTATATTTAGATTGCAGTGCAGGCTTACTGTGCAAATAAACCTTTTTCATAGCATTTTTAACATTTCTTGGTGTAAGCAATTTTTCAGAACATTTTTAACAAATGCTTTAAAAAAGTGGTGGGTAGCCTACATGTTCCCAGCGTCCCCAGTGAAAATGACCCTCCCTCCCTGCCCTCCCTACAGGTTGAGCTACACATGCTTACTGTTTCACCTCCTCTCTCCTACTGCTTTCTCACTTGGCTCTGTCACTTTGTCACTCGCTAAACACACGCCTCCTCCTCTGCCTGAGAGGGGCCACAGCTCTCCTTTACTCCTTCAAGTGCCTGTGCCTGCACTATGCAGGGTACTGCAGCTCATGTTAAAGCTACAGCGGCCTCGGTAGCAACATATCGGTTGTTTTAGCACATTTTGCGGCAGCCCTCTGAAGATTCTTTTGGGGAGGGCGTAACGCAAGAAACAGAGAGCAGAGGGGGTGGGGGCTAGTAAGAGATGTGATTGGGCCGGCCCAGTGTCAGTATAGAAAATGAACCGTTGTCCATGATTTTTGGGCCAGTCGTTGGCCCATTATTTAAATACAGTTATATAAATACATAATTTACGTTACACCGGCCCAGAAGGTGCGTCGGCCCACGGGGCATTTGCCAGATTACCAGTCCAACCCTGCCTCTAGCACAGGAGGAAGAGATTTTCAGACCCGGGGCAGGACTGAACAGGACCCAGGACCGAACACAGCCTCCGTGACAGACAGGGAATGTAGTACTGTGCTGATTTACGGAGTTTCCTGATGGATAAGATAGCTTTACTTTTTGATACACCGCTCACTACTGCTAACTGTACCTGTCTTTAGCTAGTTAGCTTGGCTAGGCGTGCAGCTAACCATTAGCTGGCTCAGCCCCGGGGTGCCAAAAGCTAAATCTGGCAAGAAAACCACCACAGTACTGTACTCCTTGTCATCAAACATGCCTGCTTCAGTCTCAGAGGCCGTATTCGGTCCCAGTTTGGCCGCTGTGTTTACTCACGGGGAGCTCCCAGTCTGCACAGAGTTTGCATGGCAGAGGGGCCTAACGCACAGTCTGTTATTGGCTACTTTAGACGCCAATCAGTATCCACAACAAGTCCCTCCCTAGCTTCTTGTTTTGTACAGGAAACCAGTAAATATGCAGAAACAAATACCACAATGCTTGTTTGTGTCAACTGACAAATCGACTAATTGTTTCAGTCCTATCAACCTTTTGTTTTGTAAACAGGCGATGACTGAGCATGGTTCTAACTGCTAATTAAGTTAAGTAAGGTTATAAGGGTAGCATACAAAGGCCATGCATTCAAAGTGCCAATGATTTGGTAAATGAGGTACATGTATGGGGGGGGCTTGCAGTCCACTTCTGTGTAGAGAGAATCCTTACCAACACCCCTGGTACACTGAATCACTCCATTTATAAAACGCTTTGTGCAACAGTGGGCTTTAAATCAGATTTTTAAGCCTTTATGTAAACCTGCAAAGCTGAGAGGGCCTTACACCAATATGCAACAGATAATCAGACAGGCATCAGTGTTTTGAAGGCTGACAAGAGGACAGCTCACTGCAGGATGACAGAGTCAAATGCAATGGGGGCAGGCAAGTGTCGTGATTGAAATTCTCCCAGAACAAAACCTCGTTTGTGTGATTATTGTTCAACAGGCTCGCAATGAGGCAAAAATCCATTCCACATGATGCATTCATTGTTTTCAGCCAAACATGCACCAGGCCCCACGGCAGCCACAGCTACTGTACAATGGCCTTCACCAAAAACAACTGAAAGCCTACTGCAACATTTAGGAGCGTCTAGTACACATATTTGCAACATCTTTTTTAGTAAGGTATTACTGTAGTTAAGTTATGTCTATAGAGGTTAAAAAATACTTTCTATGTTGGTAGTTACTAACACAGCACTGAGTTCCTCAGAGGTGAATTATAATAGGAATGTTATAGTGCAGAAGATTAAAATACCAATAAATTCAACATGTTGGCGATAACGCATTAGTGCACTAAGCAAAAGGCCCACCGTAACTCACACAGGAACTTCAGGGAAATATAATCGGGATTTTTCGTCAGAATCTGAGTCAGATTTTTGCCGACTGAGTCACATTTCAACAGGTGACGAAGCAATAAAAACCAATAAGCTGCAGGTATCGGCTGCAGGCCAGTAACTAAGAGCACACAATGTCAACAAAACACCTGCGCGAAAGGGAAGCGAAGTACTGAGGAGTTAATACAATATTTGCACTCTTGTGTTAGTACTCACCTCTATCCATTTCTGCGCCTCCTGAAATGCGGAGTCTGCGGCCGACTCGGTCACAGGGTGATGCTGATGAGACGGTTCTATGTCTGCAACCGGACTTGCCATTGGCGAAGAGGCTCTTCTCTCCAACTATTAAAGCCTGTAAAAATGTGTAAAAGCAGCTCAGTACAGCGTTATTCCACCAAAATTAGTCGGGAACCCTGTCAGTCAGCCCGTTCTCCTCCGTCGGTTGTAGGTGTTGCAGTAGCAGCAGCAGCACCGGCGAGGCGAACGAACCAGTTCCTGCTCTACGGTATCGCTCCTGTTGGAGTCTAGGCAGACAACCAGCGTCTAGTCAGCCAGAGTCACTTACAGGGCTTCCGGTGTGACGGATCAAAATAAAAGCTTTAGTCGAGGAACAAAGTGCCTCATTACTGCGGTGCTGAACCGTAACTCCTGTCAAGGCAGCCGCACCTAAATTTGGAGTGCACACGTATTCTGAACTTTATGGTAAATGCACCTATACTCAAATTTCACACAATATTACAATCTTTTTTTTATATAGGATTACAACACATGCCGTATCCGAGACAGTTTCTATCCCATCCTTTAAATACCCTGTAATTTGAATCATTTTCTTATGTTTAACGTATAGCCAGTCTACTGAAAACTGAGTGCTAACTTTCTTGTTAACTTAACTTTAGCGTTAGCTGACAATACTATCTTACTGCTTAATGTATTAAGAATAACTAGTTAAGATTGACATTGAAAGAGTTAACATTTCTAAGGACCCGCACATTTAGCTAGCTTTAAAGTTAAACTGGAGAGCGGTGGAACCTGGAAAAAGTCGAGACAGAAATAAGAGAAGGTAACGTAACGTTACGTTAACATTAGCAATTCACCTCCAGGCTACGCTACTTTAAAACTTTCAACGTAAAGTAGCCAACGTTAAAAGCCCAATGTCGTGCCTGTCCTGTGGCTAATCGTTGTTATTTCATCTTTTAAGTTATGTTAGTTAATGGCTAATGATTAACTTACACTGGAGTCACATAACTTAGCGTGTTGTTTCTCAAACATTAGTAACTTAAGGTTAAAAGCTAACGTTATATACAGGCTATGGTTAAAAGGTAACCAACCCCTGTAATTTAGGTTGTTTCACAACACTGAACATAATCTTAGCCTACCATTTCCAGATCCTCCAAAGACTCACTTGTCCAACACAAATGAAAAAATATTGCAATGGCCTGCACAATTCAAATGTTATTTGTTTGTTTTTTTGTTTGTTTTTCAAGTTGCAACTCAACACCAAATGAAACCGGAAAGTGAATATGCTTCTTTATTTTGGCGGTACAAGATTGATTATTTGCTGGATTTGTATAATTAACTAAAATATGAACTCATTAAATAAGTTAATAAAGATAAGAGAGACGGACATACACTCTACATATGCCACTAAATGTTTGTTTGGCTGAACAAAACTAAGTTATGAGAACTATGAAACTTAGAAATTTGTTAATAAAAAAATATTTGTTAATGTAGGCCTACAGCCCAAAATGTTTTGCTACTGGGTGGATTTGTATGGAACTTGGAAATGTCTTTGAAAGGGAGTAGTCTGCAAAGGTTTGGTTATGTTCACATTTAAGAAAACATCACCCATGACTTGCAAGGCAACCCAGTATCATAAATGGTTGTGAATGAATGTGAATAAAAACTTTATGCTATTTATTTCCATTTATAGGCTACTTTGTTTGCGTTTGTCTTTTGTCAGCCATTCTAACTAATGTCTTTATCTAGACTTGTAATGACGCTTCTTACGGTTATTACTGCCCATTGGTTTCCACTCCTCCAGCCATTTTTTAAGTTTCTTATTTTGGTTGCAAAACAGTTTTGCTTCCGGTTTTAATCTAGCTGTTCGTGGCTAACTTGACGCAGCTAGACTGACAGTACTTGCACACCGCAGTATGATACGCTTTAGTGGCCGAAAATACACAGAGCAGCACCGCTTCACCAGCAGCCAATGAGGGCAGCAACACACTGGGGATCCTACACCCACTTTCACTATATGGGGCAACTGTGAGAGCAAAGAGTTCACTGATTTAGAGCAAAGGCACCTAAAAGGGCCAACTCTGTCCTCCAGTCATCAATCATTATGAGGCAATTAACAGTTAAGACAATTATACCATATAGGCTGGTAAAGGTTTTAATCTTTGTTATTGAATCTATTCTCGTATCACTTGCATCATTTTGATTCTTGTCCAAATTATAGTTTTCTGTGATTTGTTAGTCAACCCATTTCACCTCGGTTTCCATCCACCAGGCCTATACAAAAAGATTAACAATGAAATTGTTGATGTGAAAATCTGTAGAGCCCATCTGCAGCATTTTAAAGATAGCGCTAGACTGAATTAGAAAATTGCTCTATAATAGTATATATATATATAGTTATAGTAAATTCATATACAAATCAGTTATATCTTAGCTGTCAGGTTTGTTGTCAAGGCTATAGTGAGGGACATAATAAATTGTGTTGCTAATTTTTGCTTTAGAAATGCTAATGCTTCAACACAGACAAATGCTCAATAGGATCATCTAGCTGGCAACAAAACATGAGCATGTTTGCACGTGAACCTGAGGAAACATTGTTCTGTAATCTCTGATCTGCATCTTAAATTGGAATTTGATATCTCACCAGCTTCCCACCTGTAAACACGATCAGTTTTGTTTAATGGAATGCACAATCAGGCCACATGTACAGCGGTGTTTTGCCCATGTCTTTTTAAAGACATTAACTGTATTGAAAGTGAAACACATTCATTCACACATTGTTCAATGAAATGATAACACAGAATGATAAGGGAGATTTCTCAAAATGAAAGGTCACGCACAGTTTCAGCATTTTTAAGCACTATACAAAACAAAGTTATTCCTTTATGAAACTATATTGTATACCGAAGGAGCCCCCAAGGTTAGATGATAGCAATCAAGACTTTTCCAGGACCTGCATTCAATGTGGTATCCACAGACTTTGTGATATTTTTACATCTTTGCTGACCTCCTGTGGAACAATGCTGCAGTACTGAAAAGCATTAGGAGGAGCTTCCCAGGCAGGCATACTGTGTGCTCATTTATAATGTGTGGGTGGGTGTATTCCCTCTCCACTCCTTTCTTCTGTTCCTCAGGCTTCTATTTCCTGGATACCAAAAATAGTTTTGTGTGGTTTTCTTTCATGTGAACTTTGTCCCACAATATCTGTGTCAAAGAGAATATCTTTTTGAGTTTTTCTGTATCAGCTCGCTGTTTTCATTATTCTGCTCACCTTCTTGACAGTTCCATCTGTGTTTGACAGGAGGCACTCTTAACCTGGACAGGCAACAGGGCAGTTTGGCAAGTATAACACCTCTACTCCCAATATAATAGTACTTCTGTCTCAAGGTTTAATGTCCTTGTTAAAATTTGAATTTTCTTTGTAAAAACTCATTTAATAAGTTACAAGAAAATCCAGGATATTTTTTTTTTACAATTTTAAACTACAACTTTTGTTCCAAGAGACAGTAGCCTAGAAATCAAGCCTAGAAAAACAAAAATGACTAAGATTAAAACCTGGAAGGGTTTTAATAAAAAAAATAAAAACTAATTAAAAACTTATTAATATTAATTATATGTATCTCTAATTCTTAACAGAAAGGGTCTATCTTGAACAGGATTGTTCCATTTTATCATGTGTGGTATGTCACAAAAAGCATTCTTTTTTTTTTATTATTGTATTCAGTGCCTGTAAAGGGAAGTATATTAATGGAACTACAAAGATATGCATTTAGCTCACAAAACAATGTTTTCAGAATCAGAACTAGAACTAAAGTTGTTTTACACAAATCTAATTCATATTTTTTGGTTGGACTCTTGAAGCATGGCTGAGTGTCTGCAGGTTTTTGTTCCAGTTTAACAGCAGATTTACTTAGTTAAAGCACTTGCTGTATTATTTGATTGTAAGTTAAACATACATACTCTCTGCGTTTCAGTTTGACATCCCCTTTAATGATTTAGCAATTGAAACATTTTTAGAGGCTCAGGCCTCTAAAAACAGACACAATATGATACAGAAGTACCATATTGTGTCTGCAGGGGGTGCCAGAGGCCAGTGTATTTTTGTTAAAATCGCTGCCAGTTTAAGAATACAAATCATGTATCGCTCTTTAATGTTGACGATAATTATAAGACCGTGTCTTTTGGTGATTTTGCACTTTAAATAAAACTTGATTGATTGATTGATTGATTGATGAATGAGTATCACACAGGCAGTTTGACTATTTTAGCTGTTCCTCTCCAGCAATAGTAATGACGGCTTGTCATAATAACTGGAGAAACGCATATAGTGTCCCCAAATGCTATCAAATGCTACCATTTCAAAATCAAGTGAAGTTAACTGTGAAACAGGGAAAAGTCAACTCTTCCATGTGAACATACAGAATTTGTTCTGTACAATTGTGTTTTTCTCTAAATTACCTCTTAACCAACATACAATCAGAGAAAACGACTGTTCATGTCTGTCTAAATAATTTGCTGAAAATATGGGTGGTTTCTGAACTTTTGATTTATTTTCTTTCCCAAATTATAAGCCAAGACCAGGAACTCATGAGCAAAATCAAAATTAGAATAACAAAATCTAAGTGAGTCTAAATGTGTCACTTTTTCCTTTCATCTGCAGGTTCTGACTCCTAGTCTTCCCCACAGTTTTCGAAATGTGGCTCACGGTCGTTTCTGTCCCACTGCTTCCTGCCATCATCATGGTTTCCATTTGTTATCGTGTCAAAGTTGCTATGCTGTGCCATCGAGCTCTGGCCTGGGCACTGAAGCTGGTGCGAGGGAGAGTGTGTGTGAGGAACACCCACGCCTTTGTGTTCTCCAAATGCACCCACGGCAAAGTTGACAGTGTCCTTGAGACCTTTGACCTTTACACTGACACACACCCCTCCCTCAGCATCAGCCCACAGATTGGTCAGTATGCATTAGAATCACTTTATTTACCAAGTGCATTAAGTTAGTGAGTCACAAAATACAAACACAAGTCTTTAATTTAGCATCCAAGTCAAATCTCATGTTTTAATATTGGTTAAAAAAACTAATGGATAAGACTTCTTTGCAGTTGAATCTGGGAATTTGACACTATCTCGAGACAACAAACAGTTAAGATCATTTTCCTGCTTGAATGTGTTTCCAGGAACATGATGCTAAAGTGTAACGGAGTCTTTTTGTTAACATTACACGTCATTTGAAGTTCCTTTATCCAAAGGCTAAAACTTAGAGATCCTGTGGAAGCTACTGAGACCAGCACAGTTTATTGTGTTTGATTCATTGTTACATTGTTGAGTTTGTGAAAAGCGCTATACAAATTCAATTTATTTTTATTATTATTACATGTGGTAGGCAGGTGCACACTGATACATTGGGGCATTTGGGAACTTTGCATCACAGAAATGTTCACAGTGGGAAAGACTTATTGTTTGTAAGTCATTATTAAGACCCCTAGTCAAATCTGGAGTCAACAGAAAAGAGTTGCAAGAGTTTGAAGTTGATTTATTTGTGACTTGAATGTCACTCGGCAACTCGAGGACCTATCTCTGGTGCAGTGACATGAACAACACAGCTGAGAAAGTTTGACTAATATGAGTTCAGGCCAATGCTGACATGGTTTTTGTGATTTCTTTGGTCCTTTTTCTGCTTCTGTAATATACATGGCGTAAACCGAGGTACTTATAGCCTACTTTACTGGAGCTTTTCCATTTTATGCCAGTTGACACTTCTGTTCCACTACAATTCCAGGGAAAATATTGTACCTTTTACTCCACTACATTTATGTGTTTAGTTACTAGTTATTTTGCAGATTCTTAGTAATAATACAACATTTAATAAACAATACGTTAGGATGTGTTATTATGGATAAAGATAAGACTTTATTGACCCCTTGGTGACATTCACAAGCTACCCAGCAGTATACATAGTAAATAATAAGCTCTGCCTTTACCAGCTTTAATGTACACAATAATGCATCACAAATTTTAATCCATTAATGTAATATATATGATTCTGAAATGGGCTATTCTGCTTAATTTGCACTTGCACTTTTTGTACTTTGGCTATTTTGATGCTAATACTTTTGTACTCACTACTACACTAAAAAGTTTAATGCAGGTAGCTACCTAGCTCCACTGCTGAAAATCTCAGATTATTGCTTCAAAAATGTGCAACTCCTGAGATGAACTGTAACACTAGCAATTTAGTATTTTACTCAAGTGTGATTGCATCAACATGACTATACACTTCTGGTCAGAGCCAATATAGAGATGTACCATCCCTGTTCCTGTCATCTCTTTCAGGTGAGGCACTAGATGAAGTGGTGAGGCGTGTCCATCCCTCCCTGGTGTTGGAGCTGGGGATGCATTGTGGCTACAGTTCTGTCAGACTGCTGCGTCTGCTGCCCCCTGCTGGCAGCCTGATCACAGTGGAGCTGGACCCACTCACAGCAGAGCTAGGGGAGGAAATCATACTTGTAGCTGGCTTCAAACACTCCCAGGTAGCCCAGGGAACTCACCACTCATAACAGGAAACCATGATTCAACTAAGGGATCTTAATCCCTTTTCCTGTGCTCTTCTGATTCTTTGCAGTTCCGGGTGTTGACATCTACCTCAGCCGAGGCCATCCCAACACTGCCTACATTTCTTGAGCCTGACCAAGGGACTAGTAAAGGGTTCAATCTGGTGCTGATGGACCATGACCCCCAGAAGTACCTTCCAGACCTGCTAGCTCTGGAGAAATGGGACCTCCTCAGCCCCTCTGGCTGCTTTGTCGTTCTGATCTACAGGAACCAAAGAGCTAAAGATCTCAGAGAAATCCTGGATCATATCAGAGCGAGGCCTGACTGCTACTGCATCAAGTCAGAGCTTCAGTTTATGACAGAGATCTTTTATCAAAAGGAAAGCACAAGGGTAGATGGCAAAATCTAAAGATGTGGGTGTGCGCTTTCAGTTTGTTTGGACTATTTCAACCAATAGTGTTAAATACTTCATCCTCTCTAGTATTACTTGTGGGTCAAAGAATTGGAGGATAAAAAATATGTGTTGAATAAATGATTTTATATATTTTGTCAAGCTGTTGTTGGAAAAACTACTTTCCCCCAAGCAAAGTCAGCATAGTACAGTATATGTAAGCAGTTTGACATCATATATGTATATATAATATGATTATTAGAAATTAGACAACTGATGTGTATCTAAAACAGTAATCCTGCTATAAATTATTATCTGATGATACTGCTAGAAATAAATTACAGTAGAAAAGGAAAGTATGTTTCTTCAGCTTTATCATACATGGCCCCCCAAATGACAAACAACAATTAAACACGATGATTACAATAACAAACAGGTAGAGGAGTTACAAAATACTCCTTACTTAAATACTGCTGTTTGTAATATTTAATACAAAATCACAAAGCTGCTTACACAATCACCTCTGCTCACAACAAAAGAACAAAGAAGAAAAAAAATGGTTAGATGTAGAGCACAGAGTAACCACATGATGGCGATCTCTACATTTTGAAAGGATGGAAACTCTGGCGTTAAACTAGGTTTGAAAAGGCACCTTTAAAGGGAATTGCCATCTATTTTAAGAATGTACCTGTTATTGCTGGACTTCAGGACAGGTCCATACAAACGTGTAAACCTCTTTTCTTTTGCTGCAGACAGTAAAGTTAACCGTTGAAATTTATGTCAATAGTGTCACCACATGTGTCCTGATTTATTCATGATGAGATTGACCACAATGTCGATGTTTACAATTAAAAATAAAGCATTATTAGGGAAATTGCCTCCACTTCCCCCCTTCTTTTTTAAAATGTTTTATTTTTATTTTTTACAAACATCAGTATTCTTACCCTAACTGGCCATAATGTCTAAGATTCAAGATCCAGTGTCTCTGCGAGGTCTGCATCTTCAATGAGGAGAATCAGAGCTGTTGTGGGTAGAAGTCAGATGGAGTTTTCCACATTTGCCACTAATGGCACTGCTGAGTCTTTCAAAACAGATGGGAAGCTATTACATGGTTGTAGAGACAATTTAATGCAGAATTTAAATAAATAATATTTGTGCAAAAACATGATTTAATAATTAAATGCAATATTTTCCAGGAGTTATAGGGGAGGATCTAGACTCAAGGTTACAATTGTTACACAAGATGAATGCTATCATAACTGAAATTATGCAAACTTAGAGAGCTTAATGCAGTTAAAGAGGTGGAAAAAGAGAGCCAGGGGATGTACTGTAAATTGTCAACTACTATAAATTAGTTACAGAGGTTATGTAATACATGGTCAGGGATGAGAACTTTTTAAATCCATCCAGTTTAACTGTTCACTGTGAATGTCTCCACAGAGCAGAACAGGTAATGGAGCTGGCAACATTTGAGGATGCATGAATACTTTATAATCTCTTACATGGATCATTATTTGCACTGCAGGGGAAGTGGTGCTTGCATTTGCTGAACATAGGAAATAACACAGTAAAGTAGACTAAAGGCATATGGGTTATTGTCTGCTCCCCAACTGGCAATACTGCATCTGTTATTGAGAACTACAGAAGCTTAAACACCCAACTGATTAGTGTACAAAGTCAGTGTCATAATCAGTATCAAATATAACTACTCTAATTCCAAATTAAGACATGTACCATTTGGAAAAAGATAACGCCCACTCTGAGGAAGTGATTGCCTGCATGAAAATCAAAGTACTGAATATTAGTATCGCTAATTAGCAATCTGGAGCATTTTACTTAGAATAGCAACATTCAGGGTGGGTGTAATCATCTGTGAGGACCTTTTTTCATTCCATTAAAAGGAATTTGCAATTTGTGTTTGGAATGAAAGAACTCATGTCTTGATTCAAGTCTTTGGATTCTGTTTTATAGCAGAGTTTGCTGCCTTTGTATGTATTTACTGCAAGTTTCTCAACTAACTAACAAATGTACACCAGTTTTTCAATAATGAACTGATATTCCCATTTAATAAAGACAAACAACATAGGATAATTTGGAATAAAATCAATAACACAGAATAATTTGACTAAACGCTCCTTATTGTACCCACAAGTGAAACGAAAAGCAGGAATATCTATTGGTTGCAGGGTTTATACTCATCCTCAGCCCATATTTTCTGTACTAGTCACACTGGTGGACTTAATACAAATCTACAAATGTATTTTGTATTTCTGTGAACCAGTCATGCTGTTTTTCATGTTGATGGTCACATAGTTGGCTGTATTTGCCTTCAATAGACCGTAATACCGATACTATATAAATATATATGTATGTATAGCCTTTTTGATAGTAGCAGTTACTCTGACAATAATACAATAAGTTTAGCAGTACACAGAATGTCTCCAAATGGCCAGTGTGTGATATGTAATTAAACAAAGTAGAACAATTTTAATGATTGTTCATTAGCTACCAGCCCAGATAATCTCCCGCAACACTCGTGTTAGAGCCAAGATGTGGTCAATTTCTCAGCTGTCAGATTTAATTTAACATGTCCTTGCCCTCCTTTCAGAGTACCACTAGTCTACACAATGTTCAACCAAATGTAAACATCATGCTCTATGACCGACACAACCTTTGCCCCTTCCTGCAAGTTCCCTAAAAATTCCTATTTTAATGGGTTAAATTTCTGGGTTCCTCCTTCATCAGGCTATGAACTTACTCTCTGTGCTATGGAGGCTGGAGAACTGAGGTAAACACAGCTTTCAATTATAAATCAAACTCTAAAAGAGCCATGCTTCACTGCCCTTGGGCTCTGTGTACAAAGGCCCAGCTTTCAAACACCCCACATTGCACTACCAAGAACTTACGGACAGCTATTCACGGGGATAAATTCACTACAGAAACTTTTGTGAGTATCAAAGTTAATGCAGAGAATGTTGTGCTTATGTTTTGTATGTGTTGGCTGCTATTCCATCTATGATTCTATAATACACTTTAAGCAGAGGTTTGACAGTAGTGTTGCCGGATTTTTGTCATAGTATTTTTATTTGTATTGATTTACATAATTTGTGATAAATGTGATACTATATACATCACCTTATTATTATTTCATGCAGAGCACAGCATTGTGAGAAAAACAAATATATATATAAATAAAATATAAATATATTAAAAGAAAAATTGTACATTTTACCTGCTGAAGCAATACCATGTTACTGTAACTTTCACACCCTTCTAATTTTATTAGAGAGGAAACAAGTACTCCAAATTGAATAACATAATACATTGTTTGTCACTGCAGTCTGCAAATTAAATAAGTGTTTTCTGATCCAACAACCCTACCGGCAGGGTGGCATTGTTTGTCACTTCCTTCCAAAATGTTTAAACAAACAAACATTATTCATATGACTATTTTTCTGATCTTATGGTTAAGGTTTAATTCACTTCAGACACACACATGACTTGGTTATTGTTAGGGAGCAAGTAACATAAGAAAATATGCTCGTTTTGGTTAAAGAAATATAGTAAGCCTAATCTCCATGACAAAGGAGCAAACTCCATCTGCTGATGAAGATAGTGAGACATTTGAAAGCTCTGGAGAAAAGCTATTAGGTGGGCCTTTTCTTAAAGTCAAGTTGTAATCAACATTGAAGTGTTGGGCAGTACTGTAATATTATTACTTTTCCAAGTAACTAGTAGTGACTAATTACTTTTCTAAAACAGTAGCCTCATATTATTCCAGTTACTAATCCAAGTAACGCTGTGTTACTGAACGCACCATCCTTCACGTGAATGCGCGACTGTGCAGCAGGTCAACGGCACCGGACTTTGTTGTTCATGTCCGCTGATAGCCAAAAAATAAAGGAAGAAAGGAGAACGAGGGAGAGAGGTGTTCTTTCCACTGCTGTGAGTAGCTACTGCCATAACTGTGTCACCGTCTGAGATGCAAAGAACATTGTCGTCTATTGTAAACTCTGTGCGACCAGCAAAAAGCTTTCAGCCGCGAACATTTCTACATTTAAATTATTGAAGCATCTGTTGAAACATCACAGCGATGTGAAACTTACAGAATGAAACTAAAGCTTGATTTATACTCCTGGGTAGGGTCGCACGTGCGTAGCCAGGCATTTATACTTGTGCGTCCGTCAATCTGCAATTACACCCCCAAACGCCAGTGGGCAGTAGCGCTACAGCGTCCACTATGTTGACTTTTACTGGCCGAGCAGGCTAACTTCCGTTTTAACCCTCCGCTTACGTGAATGGGGGTAAAATTGTGAACGTGCGGCTGGTGTAGCAGTTTCAAATGTTATCGACCTAATGAATCACATTTTGATAGTGAAATGAGTCATTTCGCTCCAGTTGTGGCGGTCAAATTTATTGATCCACTGTGTTACAGCCGCCGTTTTGGCCGCTAGTAAAAGTTACTTCAAAGCACGGGCACTTCCTGTTGGCTCGGAGGCATTGCGAGGCTGCCCAGCCGACCAATCACAGAGCTTACGGTCCGTGTCGACTCGACTTGTAGTTACATTTTTGAGGAGGTGCACGTCAGGCTACGGCGTAGCGTAGGGGGCTACGCAGAGGCTACGCCATCGATTTGACGCAGAAGCATAAATTGCACTTAAGGCAACTACTGCAAGTAATGCTTAGACTCGTAGGGAGAGGGTGGCGTTAATGTAATGTTTTGTGCTCTTATAAACAGGCTACTGTGAAAAATATCATTTGTAGAGACAAACCCACAGAGAATTATCACCTGACTCCAGTTCCCCTCAGCTTTATGGAGTGTTTTAGTGTCTTTGAACTAATTGGTTTAGTTTACTGGCCCGTGCCTGTTTTAGGGGCAGCAGGCAGCTGTTTTCAGTAAAGAATTTTGACATATCCACTGCACACCACCTGCTCAGCACCAAACAGCAGACAGACAAAGTTAGCGACAAGCTTGAAAACGTAGTGGTGCATTTATCAGCTTATGAGCCAGATATTTCCCTCGAGAGTTGGTGGAGACCAAAACAGAGCTAAAAAAATATTGGGATTACATTTGCCAGGTGGACAGATTGTTATGTTAAAATTGTTGCATTGTTAATGTAAAAATATTTATCATAGCTGCTTTAAGATTAGTATACATAGTCTTAGTTAAAAGAAACCAACTTTATTGGTAGGAAAGGAGATGTGAACAGCAGTTTCCTGGATCATAGTAACATAGCATTACTTCCATGATTGCTCCTGACAGACAAGTCATAATATACACAGCCACTAGGTTCTTGTCAGGTAATTGCCATAATTGCAAAAAAAGCCATTTAGGCAATTGAACAACCAATGTGAGCTGTCATTTTGTGACTTCAGGGAACACACTTTATAAAGTCCCTTGAGTTTCGAAAACCCAGAAACCCAAATTTCACAGGTACAAATAATGTGTAGCTCTTGCAGTGTGAAATGAACATAACTCAACCACAATTTTATTTTGTGATCAGTGGAAACAAAGACTATTTGTGAGGAGCTCCACTGTGTCAAACATGTGTGGGGCATTTTCTTTACAATGCACAATGTTTGGAGAAAATAGGACTTTTTACTGTCATTTTTAAATTTTATGGATCTCATTGAGCTATTATGTTGTTCTTTGTAATCTGAATCATCTCTCAGTTATGGAAATTTACTATGTCTGATAGCAGCATAAACACTTGTTTACAGAAAAGTCATTTTAAATTCACACTGTGTTTCTTCTGTGGCAGTGAAGGAACAAAGCATTCCCCTCTGCATCTGGTTCATCAACTGGAGTGGTCAGAGCAAAAGGAGAAAGGAGACTCTTGATGGCCTCTCCAGAGACCAAGA